AAGTAGAAAAATTTTTAAATGTATTGCATTTATTGGTACATTTTAGGTATACATTGTGATCACATTCATCCTTGGGAATGTGAACCTGCGCATGATATATCTTGTTTCTACTTTTGTCCCCATTCCCCTTCAATCAAATCTGGGTCATCAGTTCTAACTTCAGTGATGAACACTGATGCCCTTGGATAGTTTCTGTGACCCTTACTATGTCTGAATGCTAAAAACAATCTGTAGAAAAAATGACAGTGACAACCACAGAATTTCTTTCACAGTTAGAAAAGTGATGTTTCAGGTAACATTAATCAATATTTCTTTATATTTTACAAATGATTATCTAGTAATATAAACAACCTAGATTTATAGAGTTTCTTAATAGAATACTTAAAATTTAGTTCTGATATTCTAATAAGATTACTTTCCTATCAATGAAATGGATATTGATTATGTCTGTGAATAATTAAAGGATCCTGAAAACTTGGAAAATGACTTATTTCCTGTACAATATACAAGACTTGAGATGGCATATCATTTCTGGATTAATGACAGACAGTTGTCAGGTAGATTCAAAGTTACACTTATACAACAATCTATAGTTCAAGTGGTATTTAGGATAGATGCATGATCTCAAGAAGAAGCTTTGCCCAGATCAATTGACAGAATTTGTTTATCTGTGCTTTTTAATATAATGGAAGAAATATTAACATACCTGACACATCAGTGTTTTTTTGTGGGTAACGTTACTGGTTTTCAGATTTTTCAAAGGGCAATCTGTGTATGATACATAGGCTCCTCTCATGAGGATTTCCAAACTCAGTTTTGATTTCACTCACTCAACTCATCACTTGAAATGCACAATAAAGGATTTTAAAAGCAAAGAATTAAAAACTGGAGTGAAGATCTCTTTTGAGAAAGGAAATGTAAACTGAAATGCAAGGTAAAAGAGTAATAGAAGTTTACACAAATTATAGTTAGTAAACTGAGTTGGAGGAAAAGTTGAAAAATCACAATTATAGAATCTAATTAGATAAATACATATCTGAAGAAGCTGTAAGGGAAATCTGATAAAACTGAATATGCTTCTCTTACTCATATGTAAATATTTCCAATTTCCTAAAGTACATATTAAAGCATATTTTAAATCAGCAAGATCTACAGAAAAAGTGAGAGTATTTGGTAAATGTCACACTCACGACAGTGGTAGCACATAGCTACAATAAATGAGCCTTGTCAAAATAATAATATTTAAATATCAGGCTAACAATCAAATGACATACAAACATTTCATATCGATTGAGATATCTGTATTCATTATTCTCAGCAATTTTCATATCTTATATGGGACAAGTGAAATTAAGCTGAAAAGTATATGTTAGGGCTTGCATTCAGAAAAGAGTACCAGACTCAAAGAGGCTATTGCCAGAAGTCATGATTTTACAGTCACACAGTTTTGTAAATCTTCCTATAGAAGCTTTTGTGTGGATGCTAACTTAAAGGCAAATCATAAATCATTTCTTCTGAAAATAATTACTAATACGTGTGTGGAAAAATTCTTAGATTTTCTTATGTTTAATGTTGTTGGCTATTGCATCACATAAGAGCTAAAATCTTTTTGAGCTTTGAATTATGATCATATTCTTTGGTAACCATTGAACATTATTAACAAAGAAAATATTCAAAGTAGCAAACACGGTAACATTTGGTACTTTAAAAAACAATAATTAGAGCTATTTCAAATTGGCACTATGTTAGAGCCTATGTTACATATTGAGGATTTAACAGAATCATTTCCAGCCTCTAAAGTCATTTTTTAGAAAGACACACTCAAAATAACTACCAAAAGATCACAAATTACAGTGGTACCTCAGGGCACGAACTTAGTTCTTTCCACAGATCTGGTCACAGAATTCATTCCGTGATTCTGGAATTAAGTTTGTGAACCGGGGTACCACGTAGTTGGAAAAGAATGTTCTTTCCGGTGTTATCCACAGGCATTTTTAGGATGAGATGTCTGGGTATTTAGATTTTCAGATGGGTCTTAAAAGGAGTCAAAACATGAGAAATATTAGACAAGGCAAAGGAAGCAGTATCACATAGAGAAGAGTACTGGCTTAGGCATAGTTTGATTGGAAACAAACTTTAGAGATCTGTTACTTGACCATCTCAGCTAAAACCATCAAGTAATAGAAAGAATAGTACCCAAATGTCCAGAGTTCTTCAGTACAATCAGATGACTGTGAAACAGCAAAACATTCTGCTTGACTGAAGTCCTGTAAAAATTGATGGAAAAGCTTAATTAAACTATATTTAAAGTAGAAATCCCTCATATTAAACTGCCTATCTGTTCTGCTGTCACTATCCCTCATATCATCTATTCCCACAAGATGCACTGTAAGAAAAATCAGCACAAATCACAGTGTGCAATCATGTGAACACAGGGAAATAAAAGCAATTATGTTTAATGTTGTTGGCTATTACATCACATAGGAGCTAAAATCTTTTTCAGCTTTGAATTATGATCATATTCTTTGGTAACCGTTGAACATTATTAACAAAGAAAATATTCAAAGTAGCAAACATGGTAACATTTGGTACTTTAACATCTTTAACAAATCCTATACAGACATGGGAAAACATTTTGTACTTCAATACCTAACTCATCATCCTGGTGAGCAGAGTCTTCTTGTCCATTCTTTTTTCTAAACATCTCCTTCTGCACTAAGGTACATGCCTGAACTAATTGTTGCTTATAAAATTATGTTGACTGATTTATCTCATGCTATTAGGAAAGTCTGTCAGTTCACTCTCTTTGCTAAAATATATGGCGCTTCACTTGTGTAAGAAACTGCAAACCTTGCTAAGCGGGACATACAGTGCAATGAGACGACCAAATTTTAGAGCTTGGAGGATATATTCCTTCTCTATCCTGGGGGAAAACATCTAATAAAAGCAAAGAATTATCAAGGTGGCTGCCATCCAGGAACATCCTTTTCTAAGGGATTTTAAATTTTATGTTGCTGAAGTGTTTGCTCTGGTCACACCCAGTTTTTTTTTTTTTTTTTTTTTTTTTAAGAATCTTGAACCCTGCTGCATTACAAAGCAAATACAGTGAGTGAATTAAGATTCAGCTGAAGCTGTCCCTTAAAGGGAGCAAGGAGATATGGAATAATGCTTATTTTCCTCCAGGGAAAATTTCTGAAGTGCCTCTACCTGGAGAATGGGAATTGAGGACTAGAATCCACAAGACGTAAGGGGACAACCAATCAAAATTAATTCCCCTCTGGAAAATAGTTGATTTCAGCAGGACACAATGGAATGTCACATGGCTTCAGGGTTGGGATTCTAATGAGCTCACTTTTCACACAGATGAATGTAAAAGATTTGGTCTGTGGAAAAATTCTTCAGGCAATAAAAACACTAAATTTTTGGAATAAGAAGTAAATGCTATTAAACATGGTAGCTTTAGAAACAAACTATGGATGCAAGCAATAGTATAGGTATATGGAAATATTTTGTTGACCAAACGAAGCTGCATACAAAGTTCAAAATTTGAGTTTTCTTTTATATAAAGTTTATGAAAAGGAAAGAATAATGTATAGTCTCCAAAAGAACTTCACTGGATACTTGGATTCAGTAGTAGATGGAGGTAGGTTGACAGCAGAGGAATGACTGCAGAGAAGCAAAGTAAAAAATTAGGCATGTTGTTCCAAATTAGTTATACAAGTGTACATATCTGTCTAATGCATTGGTTAATATGACTGTTATTTGATTCAAGACATACATAATAAACTTGGTGAAAATTAACACAAGTAGAATTATAAAAATGTATATAAAGGTTCGGTGTATAAAATCACCTCAAATACAGATATAAGATATACATTGAATTTTCTTTTTCTTTTTTGGTACCAGGGATCACACTGGAGTCCTTGTGCTTGTGAGGAAGGCACCGGAACCACTGAGCTAAATCCCTGGCCCCTACATTGAATTTTTAAAAAATTAGTATAACTCATAGGATTTACAGTAAATAAAGCAATATCATAATTAGAAACAAACCCAGAGGTTAAACTATTTGTATTGAAAATGATAGCTGCTTATGTTTACAAATAATTTATTATTAATTATCATAACTCAGGGGGAAATTTTCTGTAGAACATCCTTTTATTGCATATGTTCTGTCATCACAGCAACCTTGAATTTAATATTCTGTTTAATAGTTCATGATTGCATTTGGAAGGTTACTTTGATCTTTCAAAGTCATATTTTACTTATTTTCTGTATTATTATTATTATTATTATTTTTATTACTGATGCTGGGAATCAAACTCAGACCCTTGGGATGCAAGGCAGGCAGTGGAAGCACTAAGCCGAATCCACAGCCCTAGATTTTATGGTTTTTAAAATTATTATTATTTTTGGTGTGGATAGGTGGAAGTTTCCAGTCCACTGATCTCAGATTTCAGTCTGTCACCCTGCCACCCCTCCCACCATTTTTTGTTTGTTTGTTGTTTTTTTTGGTACCCGGGATCAAACTGAGGACCTTGCACTTGAGAAGCAGGCAGCAGAACCCCTGAACTAAATCCCCAGCTGTTTTACTTATTTTCTATCACAACATCAATTTCACTATAAAGGAAATATGATATTCTGTGTCTCTGATAATCTTAGCAGTACAAAATATTTAAGAGTAGATGCCATGCTAAGCCATGGAAACATATATTGAAGTAGTAAAGTAAGTATATCTAGCAAGGTTCATTTGATTAAAGCATGCAGTATGATGTTTTATGAGAAGTGACACTTCTAGGTAAAAATAGAATTTGGCATTGTTTATTTAAAAATATAAATTTCTCCTAGGTATTAGGAATACCTCAGAAAGAAAAGCCTAGAGAAGCAAAAAAGACTTAATGAAGCTAATGTGATATAAAGGCTCAAGCAGAGAAATGGTATGAATGAGAACTAATGTAATTGAAGATTGTATTCAATTCTATCATTCATAATCCTACAGCATATTATTTGTGTATAATTTCTCTTTCTTTGTTTGGAAAGGAATAAAGCCTTTGAAGCACATGCTTGAGAGCTTCTTTAACCTGTTGGTTCCTGAGGGTGTAAATGAAAGGGTTGAGTAAAGGGGCAACAGAAGTATAGAGAACAGCTACCCCTTTAGTTACTGTCACCCTTTCCTTTGCCGATGGTTTCATGTACATAAAGATACAGCTCCCATAAGTAATGGAGACAACAACCATGTGTGAAGAACAGGTGGAAAAGGCCTTTCTTCGCTGTTGAACAGAAGGGAATTTCAGAATGGTTTTCATGATGAATGTGTAGGAGAGGACCACTAATAACAATGTGACAACAAGCGTCATCACAGCTAAAATAAAAGCCAGCAATTCTATGAAACGTGTATCTGTGCATGAGAGCTGCAGGATGGGAGAAGTGTCGCATAGGAAATGATCGATCACTTTGGAAGCACAGAAATCCAGCTTGAGTCCCAAGAGCAAAGGGGGAAAGATGATCAAGAATCCAGTTGCCCAGGAGCTGAGCACCAGCTGGTGGCACACTCTGCTGTTCATAATGTTTGGGTAGTGCAGTGGTTTGCAGATGGCAACATAGCGGTCATAGGACATGGCAGCCAGCAGGTAAAACTCTGTAATTCCTAATAGAAAGAAAAAGAATAATTGAGTTGCACAGCTATCGTAAGAAATTGTTTTGTCTCCAGTGAGAATGCTTGTCAAGAACCGTGGAATGCAGACTGTTGTGAAGGAGATTTCTAAGAAGGAGAAATTTCGGAGGAAGAAATACATGGGTGTCTTGAGGCGGGGATCCAGCAGGGTGAGGACAATGATGATTAAGTTTCCTGTCAGGCTCAAGATGTAATTGAAAAACAGGAACACGAAAATCACAATTTGTTGTAGAGGATCATCTGTCAGTCCACGCAAAATGAACTCTATCTCCCCTGACTGATTCTTCATTTCTTTTTGTCCTGTCAGAGCTATAGAAAATAAAACTAATATCACAAGTAAGAATTTTTTCTTCCTTTTCATGCATAGAACTTTAATATTTAGAACCTTTCCAATGTACAAATATTTTCTCAAATAAAGTTAGAGTTCGCCAAAATGAATGTAGTTTCAATTTTAGTCATATTTGGAAGAATGCTAGGAATTCTTCACTTGTCCAAAGTGAAGTAAGTCCTATTTACGATTTTCTAAGAGGTTTATTAGTTATTTGAGATGTAGCACCTCAATTTGATTAACGTTGATCTACGACTCATTTTCACATATTATTTCTTAATGAGTTGTTCCAATATTTGACATTTTACAATTTCTGAACTTGTTTAATGTTTTGCATAGTCACTTGAGTTACATGATAGTTACATGAAATAGATTTATTCCCATTGACTGCAGTATCTAGACACTGAGGTATACATGCAATAATATAAAAATTTATAAAAAGGGAATATTCAAAGAAAAATACATGAGGGTCATAAAGTCAGTATCTACTAGTGTGTCTGTCATTATGATTAGACATAGGTTAACAATTTGAAAGCCGAGAGATAATTAACAGAACTTTCACATGTGTGTCAGCAGTTAAACCTGCAATGATAAACACTATGCTCTTGTATAGTTTCTCTAGCTCTTACCATATCTAAATGATTAAAAAAAAACTTCAGAAAAATATCAGTGATGATTACAATATCTCTTAATCACAGTTAAAAGAGTGGTAAGTCACACATATGTAAATACCGAATAGTCTCTCTGGTGTGAAAAGCTATAATAGTACATAAGATCCTAATGAGATAATTGACCATGTGAAATAGGAAGAAAAGGGCTGAAGGTGTAGGGAAAATGGGAAGCATAGGGGAAAGGGAATAAGGGAAAAGAAAAAATATGAGAAAATGGAAAAATGGATATAAAGTGTTTGTAAATGGGGAGGGGAGGAAGGAGTGAAGGGAGGACAGGGACAAGGGGAAAAAAATGAGAACCAGAACCTGTCATGTAAAGGTACAAGATCCCGATAATATTACTGTACTGTATATCTAAAATGTACCAATAAACTCAATAAAAGAAAAAAAAAAGAGTGATGTTTCGGGTAGAGTTAAGGAATGTTTATGTTTTACAGATGACTATGGTACTAATATTAATAGTTTATGTTTATAGTTTCCTAATAGAATATTTAAGCATTGCTTCTTATATTTTAATAAAAATGGATATTGATTATGTATGTGAATAATTAAAAGACCCATAAAGTACTTATTTCCTGCAGAATATACAAGATTTGTGATGGCATATCATTTCCTGATTAATGACAGTGTCAGGTAGATTCAAAGTTACATATGTACAGCAATGTAGATTACCTGTGGTATTTTGAATACACAATAAGAGAAGTAATCCTTGTCCAGGTCAATCACCAGAATTTGTTTATATGTATTTTTTATGCAATGAATCAAAGATTAACATACCGGACATTTAAGTGTTTTTTATGGTTAACTATACTGGTTTTCACATATTTCCATGTAACAATTAGCTTCTCTCACGAGGATTCTCAATCTCACACCTTTGACTGCAATTATTGGAGTTGTTACTTCCTTCTAAACATTTTTCTTCTACTTATGCTTTTTTAAAAACTATGGTTGACTGAAAGGTATGCACAATAAAGCGTTTTGAAAGAAAAGAATTAAAAACTGAATTGAAGATACCGTTTGAGAAAAGACATGCAAAGTGAAAGGAAAGATAAAATTAACAGAGTTGGAGGAAAAGTTAAAAGATTAAATTTAGTAAAACTAATTTTAAAGTACATAACTAAATAAGCAATAAGGGAAAACTGCTGAAGTAGAATATGCTTCTATTACTAATATATATTGTTTGCTAATTTCCTGATGTATAGATTAAAGTATAAGTTTATTTTAAATCAGCAAGATGTAGAGAAAAAAAAGTAAGAGTATATAATAAATTTCACACTCACAAATGTGGTAGCTCAGCAGTTGAGACAACTTAGTCCTGTAAACATAATATTTAAGTGTTAGGCAAACAACCAAGTAACTAAAAATAATTATATCTATTGGTATATATGTATATAGATTCATTTTTCTCAATGCTTTGCATGTATTATGTGGGATAAGCAAAATTAAATCTAACAGAATGTATTGGGGCTTGTATTTGAGAAGGGAGACATATTAAAAGAGGCTATTTCAGAAGTCATAATTGTAGTTACACAGTTTTGTAAAAGTTTCCAAAGAAGCTTTCATGAAAGTTCTAATCTAAAGTGAAATTATATAAATTTTCTTCTAAAGTTAATTATTGATACATGCATGGAAAAATTCTGAGATTTTTCTTTCATCATCAAAACAAATAATTAAAGCCACTTTAAATTGGCACTGAGGATTTAACAGAATCATTTCCATCCACTAAAATTATTTTGTAGAAAGAACACATTAAAAATAAATACAGAAAAAAACCCAAAGTACAGCAGTACCTTGGTTTATGAACTTATAATACTGTCCACAAATCTGGTCACAGAATTCATTCCATGATTCTGCAATTAAGATCCTGAAACAAGATATCACAGCAGTTAGAAAATGAATGTTCTTTCTCGTGTTACCCACAGGCATTTCTAAAATGACATATCTGAGCATTTTGGTTTTTTGCTAGGTCTTAAAAGTAGTAAAGACACAAGAAAAGATATACAAGGAAAATGAAGAAATGTACGTCAAAGAAGAGTACTTGCTGGATTAAACATGGTTTGATTGGAAATAATCTTTAGAGATCTCCTACTTGGTCATCTCCACTAATACCATAAACTCATAGAATAGTGCCCCGATATCTGGTATTGGTTAACACACTCAGCTGGCTGTGAAACAATAAATATTCTTTCCTGAAATCCTGGAAAATTGATGGAAATACTTAACTAAATTATATTTATACTAGAAATCCCTCATATTAAACTGTTGATTTGTTCTGCTTTAACAATCATTCATATCATTCATTCCCACAAGACACACTGTAAGCAAAAGAAATGAGAATGAGAAATTACATTCATTCATAGGAAAATGGATACATTTTGAGGATACACTCCTAAGTGAAATAAATAAGTCACATATGTGTAAATACAAAAGTTTTTCTGGTGTGAAAAACTATAATTGTAAATAAGATCCTAATGGTATAATTGACAATGTGAAATAGGAAGAAAAGGGCTAAAGGTGTAGGGGATGTGGGAAGGGTAGGGGAAAGGAAATAAGGGAAAAGAAAAAAATATGAGAAAATGAAAAAAATGGAAATAAAGTATTTGTAAATAGGGAAGGTAGGAGGGGGTAAAGCGAGGACAGGGGTATGGGGAAAAATGAGAACCAAGACCTGTCATGTAAAGGCACAAGATCCCAATGATGAATGTAACTGTACTGTATACCTAAAATGTATCAATAAACTCAGTGAGAAAAAACAAATCACAGTATGAGATTGTGTGAATACAGGGAAATTAAAGCAATTATATTTAATGTTGTTGGATATTATATCACATAAAAGTTAAAATATTTCTTAGCTTTACATTATTATTTTTTTATAATCGTTCAACTTTACTTACAAATAAAATGTACAAAGTAGTGAAAAACACCACTAACATTTACTAGTTTAACAGCTCTTTAACAAATCCTATACAGACATGGGAAAACTTTTTGTACTTCAATACATAACCTATTATCCTGGTGAGCAGAGTCTGCTTGTCCGTTCTTCTTCCTAAACATCTCCTTCTGCATTAAGGTACATGCCTGAAGTAATTGTTGCTTATAAAATTATGTTTACTGATTTATTGCATGCTATTAGGAAAGCTTATCAGTTCAGCATCATTGCTACACTTCATTTATCTAAGGTATTGTAAACCCTGCTAAGCACTACATACAGTGCAATATGACAACCAAATCTTAGAGTGCAAAGAATGTATACCTTCTCTGGCCTATGGGAAAATATCTAATAAAAACAAAGAATACTCAGGGTGCCTGACATCCAGGAACTTCACTCCCTAAAGGACTTTAAATTTCATGTTGCAGAAATGTTTGCTATGGACACACACACACACACACACACACACACACACACTTTTGTATGTTCTAAGTATGATTCCAGAGATTTCATATAGAATGTGATAAAATTGGATTACCTACCACACATTTGTCTTTCAAAATATATAGTTCAGTACTTAAAAGGATAAAGAAGAATAATCCTTTAAGTGGCTATCAAAAGGGAGAGTATAAAGTGGAAAAGCCCTATTATAGGCCAAATGACCTCAAATTAAAAATACAAGTACCTTGTTCCCTTTTGCTTTATTCATTTAACACTATATCCTTGCAAACTTACCAAATCAATGCATGGACATTTCAAGTTTCTTTATAATTCATAGCCCTGCTTTCTGAGGATGTGCCATAATTTATTTAATCACACTTTCTTTGCTTCTTTTGCTTATTTGTTTGTTTTAGAAGATTTATTTAACTAAAATGCCATACACCACCTTCCATTGATTTTGATACATCATTTTCATGATGTTTTATAGGGTCTTCAAGCCAACATGAATATTTTAGAAATGTTTGGTCATTTGGGTATACACCTGCACAACACCAAACACCTTTCAGCAAGAAAAACACTGAAGAGTAAAGACCTGACACGGCTAACTAGGTGCAACGAGAGTCTGCTCCAAGTATTTGTTTCTCTGAGGTCAGGACCTTGCAAGTGTCCAATTATGGAAAACAATTTTATAGCTTGGGAGGCCCTTTAAAAACTTCTTTAAAAGGCCTAGAATGTAAGCCAGTGATCAGGTGATGAGTGGCAGAGCCACCCCCCCACCCCATTTTATGCTATGAATTTGTAGGGAGCAGGTTCCAGCAGCTCAGACTCCTTCCCAGTTTTTCTCACAAAGTGTGCTTCTCCAGGCTGGACTGGCAGATGCTTCAGCTGAACCTGGACACCTTTCTCTTTGCTTCCCTTCTTTTTCAGATCCC